GGATGGATGGATGGATGGATGGATGGATGGATGGATGGATGGATGGATGGATGGATGGCTTTATAGCACCCCTTAGCAGACACTAGCTTTTACATTGTTTAACATAACATGTATGAGGTTTTTGTGCAGCCTTACTTGGAACTGAGGCATCTTCTAAGCGAGTAGGATGCTCCTCCGCCACAGGTTCGAGAACATTCACTCCACGACCCCCAGGCGTCCCACAGAGTGTCTCGGTCCTCCTCAGATCGGGCCGTCCGCGAGCTCTACACACCGGAGAAGACACATGAGTGATCGGTCTTGGACTTCCTCCGACAGTTTTACGGGTCAGCAGCTGAGATAATACGCAGGAGGCATTAAAACTTTGCTAGATTGTCTGACCTCGAGGCCTAACGCAGATTAAAGTGAGTTATTTAACTTCCTATCTTCCTTTTGTAATGGAACTGGCATGAAAACTCCTCAGCCACATGAGTTGTGGCTTCCTCCGACGAATCTGAGCTCACAAAAGGGAAAAAAAAAAAAAAGAACTGAACTCCACTCGCCGCTGAAACAGGAGTTGCATGTGACAGGATGAGAGCGGCAATAAGAGGAAGTAATCAGGAGCTCTTGACTTCTGGCCCTTTTGCATATTTCAAAAGTCTGAGTCACTCTTTAGATTATGAAATGCTAGTCCTCTGTAAAGGTCACGCTTGTGTGCTCCTCTCTGTTAATTGCATTGTGCTGGATTTGGCTGCAGAGGTTGGAATATTACAGCAGTGCCCAAAACCAATATTATGAGAAGATAAATTTTACGAGGCCAATGTGCATCTCAGATGTGGACTGGCAGCCAAAAAAGTGAGGATCCTCTCCACCCCTCTGTCTGTCTGTCTTCTGTATTTTCATATTAGACTGAAATGACCCTCTCCTTGCTTTTGATGTTTATTTGTGAGGCTGGCAGGTAATTTGAATCATCTACGGGTGCGTACGAGTTCTTTCTTTTGGCTTCACTCTTCGCTTTTCTCATTTGCTCTTCCCAGAGTCGACTGAATCGAGCTACATTTTCTGAATACCAGACTCAGATTAAGTGAAAAGGAAATAAATTGCTTTTGCTATTGTGAAGGCATTCTGCTCGAAAGCTGCAAGTGAAACCGAGGCGAAGGAAAAACAGCTTCTCTACCTGTTGAATGGATGAAAACCTGGAAAATACTTTTTTTTTTTAAAAGTCTTGGAACTAACACTGGGACAAATCACCCACCTCCTGTGGCAGCAGGAATGTGGCTCAGCAGACTGGAGGTGCAAACACATTCAATAAAATAAGCTGCCATTCAGGCGAGGTTTTCAAAAGGAACAGACGGGTATGAGAGAAAATTATCATTTTCCCCAACGTGAACACTAATGCAGTCTTTCTGGCGTTGGTGAACCATGAAAGAATATCTAAAGATGGCAGAAAAGCAGCTATTGTGAGCTTTAGACAGCCTCCCACTATGAGATTTACACCATGAGGCAGCAGTTTGTGCTCACACATCCAACAGAGTTTTTGACGCTGATTTGAAAACACCAAATCCTGCAGGTTGGGCATGAAGCACACGGCACAACAAGGCCAGACTTTAAAAAGGAATGTTGCTCAACGGCTTTTAAGTGCAGTACTTTTAACGATCTATTGTTATTTTACAGATTTTCCCTATTTTGTTAAATTACAAATAATAACTCACAAAAAAGTAATAATTTTAAAGAGTGAAAGAAAGTAAACGTCCATGTCAAGAAATCTATAGTCTTACAAAATTAATTTGTTCTTTTACAGTGTTTGACAGTTTTAGCTTATTTAAAATGACAGAAAATGTTATTTTACAAAACTTTTTGTCATTATTGAAAGGAAAAAGATTTATATTTAGTATTGAAAAAGGCCCCAAAAATTAAACTGATTTAAAATATTAAAAGATAATGTTTATTATCATCACAGAAAAAAAAAAATCATCATGTATGACCATAAAATTACACAGTTTGCAATATTTAAATTTGGTAAAATATCATTATTTTGCAGATATTTGTTAATTTGACCACTTTTAAAGTTTTTTAATATTACAACATTCCAGTTGTTTTATGATGTATTTTTTCTGGCCCTCTTGCTGCCAGCTTTCCAGTTTTGTTTTGCTTTTTTACATGTCTCTTTTCTTTCTTGCACTTACCACGAACACTCTGAATAAGGGCGAAAACTTGAGAACTACATCTTGAACACTTGCTGTAAAAACCAATTTACACCCACTGAGCCAAATAATAGTTTACAGTCAAGGTCCAGATTTGCTTCGGGGGCTAAACAAGCCTTGTGATTTTTGAGGAAAAACTCAGGTTACTGCGAGTTATTTTGACCTCTTTAGCCCCTTTTTCCCAACAGCGTGGCACTGTGCCTCGTCTACAAAGATGAATGGATCCTGCAGAGGAAAGCAGATACAAGGTAATAATAGCGCTCTGATTATTTTCTTTGGGTCAAGGTAGCATTAAAAACAGCCACGCTGCAGCGAGCAAGAGAGGGGCCGGTGGGGCTGGCGTTATTAAAAGTGCGTGGGGACTGATATAAATGGCTGTCAGGGCCCATGACTCCTGAGGAACAGCAGAGGGGAACGGCGAGACCCAAACACGCAGCCAGCGGAGCGCACGGCCAAACATGTCGGCAACGGTGCTACTTTCTGCACGGGCCAACTATTCCAATGTTTGGATCGCGGTAAATAAACACAGCCTGCGCTCTGGGCAGCCGGTGAGCGCGCCACCTTTCGCTCTCCTTTGAAAAGCAATCAGTGAATTTTGCAGTCAATTACAACTGAGAGCCGTGTGTTGCGCGGCCAAGAGAGCCGGAGGCAGGCTGGTGAGGAAAGAGGAAGTAGATGAGGGATGGAGGGATGAAGAGGTTGTTTGGCCCACTGCGCCGCTATTGTTCTGAACGGAGGCGGAGGAAGACGAAGGCTCCGCGAGTTGGGCCGCTGTCCTGCTGGGCTTTGGATCCAACAATCAAGAGGGTCAGATATCCACTTGGAGTCTTCCTAACCCTCCATCACCACATGTCCCACCTCTTTTTTGCTCCGATCCCTCCAGGTTTTTATTTGCACTGGAAGAGCGTGCAACCGACTCAAAACGCTACCCCTCAAACAACAAACCTTCAAACATATTTATCGTCCGCAAAGCCCCCGTGGCCGTCACATGCCATGTTTTCACATTAAAAGAGGAAATAAGCATATGATGTGAGATCACCTATCTCCGTGATGGGAGTCATTCTGATGGACAGATTCTATTTAAGTCACCTGTCAGCAGCTGAGACTAAGTACATTTTCCTTGAAGATGGAAAACTCCTCGACAGGGAAAAAGAAACCCGACTCCGGTGCCTTCTTTTGCAGACTGTGTCAATATACACACGATGGCCTTTTCAGTCGGCAAGACATATGATATTTGCACATCTGCTGAATCCCTTGTCATGTGGTCCGGGTTGCACGGCACTGTACTCGCTGTCATGCAGCTCGGCAGGCACTGTAATGTAACAGGTAGCCCTAGCCGAGCTTCAGTCGGGTTTATAGGACAGCTACTTTAGGTCTCCGGGAGTCACCTAATTTTCAAACACATGCTGGAACGCTAAAGGATTTACAGCTGATGCTTTCTGAATGTAAGCGCTTCAACAATAAGACAGATATCATGAGTAACACAAGTACAGTACCAGAATAAGAAGAGCTGTCACCAGCAGCTTGCAAGAGGAAAATCCTCGCTCCATGCCTTCCCCGAGTCTGACCCGATCGCTCCGGTTCTGCTCGTTAGCGCCTTCCTGTCCGATGCCCTCCTCTGCGGGTCACTCAGTGTGTCCTGTCTGGCTGCCGTCTCCTCTCTGACTTGCTCCCGTTCTTCCTCAAGACTAACTTGGGTAAGAGGAGGGAGGGAAGGAGGGTGGACTGGGAGTGTGATTAAATCTGAGTGTGTGTGTGTGTGTGTGTGTGTTTTAGTGCTGGGGGGAAGTCATCGGGGGGATTCGAGCCCCACGAGTCCTCAGGTCTGGCACACTAGCCAATCAATAAATGGGCCTCAGTCAAGCGTGCTAGTACAAACAAGGAGCCGGGCCAGCTGCAACTTCACAGCTTCACACGTTTCTGTGTGTCAGACGGACCTACAGAAGGACTAATGGCAGACAGACAACTGTTAACCAATTTTCTTCTTTCCATTTCTTCTTCTAATATCTCAGATTTCTCTCTTTCTCCCCCTACCCTGCTTGCTTTTCTCTTTTCCTCCATTTTTTTCCCTTTTTTTCCAGCACTCTGCCTTGGAAATGTCCAAAATTTCTCAGTCATGCTGTGGTATCTTTAGAAATGAGCTTACATTTCCCCCTCGCACGCAAAGAACTGGTGATTTTTTTTTTTTTGAACGCACATCCGAGCAAAACAGACGTATTTGGCGTCACATGACTTCATGTACAGCTCCGGTCTGCACTTTGTTTTTTCAAACGGAGTTACATGTGAGAGCCCCATGTAAATCAGATGACATAGTCTGGTCACTGAAGCTATCAGGATAGACTTTTCAGCCAGGATTCTTTTATGAGCTAAAGGTCTACTTCAATAGAGCCTTTCATAACATCTGGCAGTTTAAGCCAGTGAACATTTACACTGTGGAGGTGGGGAACAAGCCAGGTGTCCCCTGGAGGGGCAAATCCTCTGGTTATAGAAAAAAAAAAAAAAAAAAACAGCCGCTAAGATGGACAGCTCTTGGCACAGAGGGAATATACTATACACTGAGTGGCTTTCCAGTTTCTTTTTCGCCATGGCAGGACGCAAAAACAAAATCTGAAACAGAGCATTAAAAATAGAAGCGGAGGAAATTAGCGCCAACCCGCCGGGTGCTCCTTGATGTGACTTGCATGGTAGCAGGCTATCATTCAAGCATTTCGACCCCGGCGTTCCAAAGACAATAAAAAGCCTGTGCCCTTCGAACTGAGACTTCAAATCCGCCTCCCAATCAAACACCAAATCAAAAACCACATAATTGCTATCAATTAAGGCGGGGAGGAATGTGCTGCACTCCAGAGCAAACACAAAACTCTAATCACAACATCGGAGCGGATGTCTCGACACTTAACCGGTACACACACGCTTTTTTTTTTTTTATAGGTCGACACAGCGAACCCGTCTTCAAGTTCACTAGGCTTGTTTGATTTGGTGGAGGACGGTGTCTGTACATCCACACACTCCCAGCTATCCACTTAACACCAGCAGGGAATTGCCTCGGACGTGCACATTTTCACCGGCTGACGGAGGTTTTT